AAGGCAGCTTACATCATTCTCCTCCTCCATCTTATCCCCACAACAAGAACCCTGTGAGGTAGGTTGGGCTGAGAGTCTGTGACTGGCCCAAAGTCACCCAGTTGGCTCCATGGCTGAGCGGGGACTCGAACCCAGATCCTCTGAGTCCCAGCCCCATGCTCTTAACCACTACACCACACTGGCTCACTTATTGTCATCACTGCTTTTATTGTGAGTTGCAGTGTATTGTATTGTTTTAACTGACTGCATCTGCTGTGAGACACCCAGGGAGCCTTACAGCTAATGGGGTAGCATACAAGCCAAATCAATCAATCAATCAATAACCCCCACTGAGCCCCAAAGCTCCTTAGGTGATTCTGGGGCAGTCATGGACCCTTCCCCTAACCTACTTCACAGAGCAGTTATCAAGATAAAATGGAGAGGGAGCCACTCTGGGTTCCCTGCAAAAGGAAGATGGGCAGGGTATGACAATAAGGTAATACCGGGTTGCCAATGCTTTTTCTCAGCAAGGCTCACCCACCTTTAACAGCGTCAGTTCAGCCATGACAGGCAGGACCTCCTTCAGCCTGCACCTCCTTTCTTCGCATGGAGGTGTGGTGATGGAAATGCCTCCTAGTACCTTTTTCTGCGAGTCTGGCAGCTCTTCAGAGGCACAGGAGCCCGGCCACAAAGGAGCAGCTAACACCTCTGTGATGCGTCCCGCCTGGGGGAGGATCCTTCGGAAGAAGAGACCCAGCACCAGGCTCCAGCCACAGGCAGATGCCAGGGCTGGGGCTACAGCCAACTGCCTTCCATCAGGGCCCCCTTGGTCAGTCCCTGGAATTCCTCAAAGGAGTTGGAAGGGATTGTTATTGGTGGAGTTGTAAGGGATTGTTATCGGTGTCTTTGGTTTTGTTTAAGACTAATCTTAATTTGTTTAAGACCTTGTTTAAGACATAGACTTTTGGCTTGCTTCCTGCACATTCTTTTGGACACCCTCCCCTGATTTAAACCCTGGACACACAAACCATATGGCCCTGGCCTTTGGACTGAATTGACCGATCTTCTGAAAGGTTACATGGGGACCTGGCATTTGTGGGCACAGAGCAGGACACTAGGAGACTATTATAATTAACCCCAAATGGCTCCAGTAGAAAGTAGATTGGTACAGAACATGGTTCTCGACTGATGAGGGTAAGCTGTTCCGGCCTCTTTGGGGGAAGTGCACAAGAGAAGTGAAATACGGAAAATATATTTACCAGCATTCTCTGTTCTCCTTGTACTGGCTGTTACAGCAGGCTTTGCCTCTGGATACAATGATTCAAGGGCTGGAGACTCTCTCTCAATTCCTGCAAAAGGGCAGAAGGAGTCGCATACTGTATTTGTATTATATTTATTTATTTGTGTGAGCCGTCCCGAGGCTGTATAGCAAGGGGACAGCATAGAAAAACTTTAAATAAGTAAAAAATATATGTAACAGTCTCTTTCCTTTTTCTCTATGGGGCCATGTGTGGAATCCTCCTCACCCTTTTCCTGTCAATTAGGTGTGGTGATGACCCACCTGAAGCTGGCGTCTGAGGAAGATCCCCAGGTGCCAGCAGGAGCTGGGTCATGCTTCATGGTTTGTCTCTTTCCTCCATCTCAGAGGATAACCTGGACAAGGCAGCCCTCCCATTAGGTCTTTCTAGATGAGAAGATACGGCTTTATCCAACCCATCAGGCACAGAGGACTCCTCACTGGTGCAAAGCCCATTGTAGCAGCCAACAACTGCTGAAAAAATCAATGGCCCTTTAGGATGCAGGTTAAAGGATCCGGGTTGCCAGAAGGGGGTAACACCAACATCACTCCCAGGCAGGACACCTTATATAAGCTTCCAGGTAGCCTCTGAAAGTGATGCAACCGCATCTGCTGCTCTGCCAACAGGCTATGAGGCACTGCAGCCCCAGCTGCCTTCCCTGAGAGCTCAGACACTAGTTGGGTTAGGAACAACTGGAGTCCTTTCACATTAGAACCAGAACTTGTGGCCCATTTTGGGCCTGCTCTGAAAATGGTGAGAAGCCTAAGATCTGGGAGGACTACTGATCAGCCAATGTGGGAAAGTTCATTTTGACCTTGGCACTCCTAAAATACAATATACAAAAATCATATGCGTACAAATGTAAGCGGACGACTCAGGCACAGAACCACCAAAACAATTTTAAACAGGCCTCAAGAAAAATCCAGGACCTGATTCAAATGCATGAGAGAAGAGGAAGGTCTTTACCAAGCTCTGAAATGTTGGCACCAGACAAGCCTCATCATTCCAGAATGGGGCGGGGAGGGGGCACCACCATGAAGGCCATTCCCTGTTGTTCCCTTCCAAGTCTCCCTCAAAGGACACATCTGGAGAGCCCTCAGATGTTACCAGCAACATACTGGTAGGTTCCTGCTGGGAGAGCCACTCCATTAGGCACTGTACCCTGAGCTGTCTAAAGTTCTAGAGGTCAAAACCAGTGCCTTGGATCAGGCTCAGATACCTGCAGGCAGCCAGTGCAAATAGGCCAGAAATGGTGTCACCTGCTCAGACTTTCTTGTTGCTATTATTGAGCTGTTCATCACACTCTGCTTAAGCAGCAACTTTGAACGATCTTCAAAGGCGGCCCTACACAGAACACTTACTTACAGTAAACTTACTTGGAGACTAGCAGAGCATAGTCAACGAAAGCCAGGTTGCTCCAGTACAGATAGAGGTGCAACTGGGCTAGGAGGCAGAAGGTACTCCATGCCCTTGAGGCCACCTGAGCCTGAGGTGCAAAGATGGCTCCTGGAGAACCTCAGACTGATATCACTTAACTATCACTTAGCTGGACACCTGCCTCCCTCACCAGATGAGGCAGAACAAGCAGTACACTTTTAATAAGTTTGAATGGGCATGAAATGATGCTCACAGGATCCACCTACAGTTTTCAGGAAAGTGAAACGGTTTTATACACGTTCTCAGGGGAACTATGAGGACAATATGAATTCATTTATAGGTGGGAAGCAGTAGTAAGATTTACTGCATTGGGCCAATGAGCTGCACAGCTTTCCAGGAAATACAAGATAAATCTCAAAAATAAAAACTCCTTCAAATGAATAAAATTCATTCTTAAGATATACATGTTAAAATAATCACCAGCATAGTATAGACAAATATAATTGGCTTGTCAAATTAAGATGTCACCATGGCAATGTACGGATTAATTTTTGATTCAATTCTTAGGGCTGCCAAGCCTTGAAGAGAAATCCTGAGTTATGCATCGCCAGCATGCAATAGTGCTTAACTTCCCATATGAACCTACCCAGCAGCTTTCATCTGCTTCTGAGGCCCTTCTGAAGGAACCCCCTCCTCAGGAAATAAGGAAGGGTCTTGAAGAAGGGTCTTTTCTGCAGTGGCACCCTGACTTTGCAAGAAGCTCCCTACATTCTTTTAAGCACCAGGCAAAAACTTTTTTCTTTCAATGGTATTTTAATGGATTTAAGTAGCATTTTATCTGAAGGCTGAAGGCTGAGCGCCGAAGGATTGATGCCTTTGAATTGTGGTGCTGGAGGAGACTCCTGCGAGTCCCTTGGACTGCAAGGCGATCAAACCAGTCAGTCCTAGAGGAGATCAACCCTGACTGCTCTTTAGAAGGCCAGATCCTGAAGATGAAACTCAGATACTTTGGCCACCTAATGAGAAGGAAGGACTCACTGAGAAAAACCTAATGCTGGGAACAACTGAAGGCAAAAGAAGGAGGGGACAACAGAGGATGAGGATGAGGTGGTCACTGAAGCAGTCGGCGTGAGCTTAAGTGGACTCCGGGGGATGTGGAGGACAGGAAGGCCTGCAGGAATGTTGTCCATGGGGTTGGACACGACTTCGCAACTAACAACAACAAGCATTTTATCTGTGGGTATGCCAATAGTTTTGTGCCTCTTATATTGATTTTAATGATTTTTATTTGTAATTGCTGTTTTATATTGTATTTTACTTTGTATTTTATTCTATTCTGTATTTTGTTGTTGTAACTTGCCCTGGGAGCCATACGGCTAAAAGGGCAGGTTAGAAATCTAATATATAATAAAATATTAATCATAATAACTTTGCAGAAACAAAACCCAACTGTAATGGGCTAAAATAACATGGAATTTAAAAAGCCTGTGGTGTGGGAGGCCTTCTACTGCAAGATCTCCATAAATACACACTTGCTGTGGCAGCAGAATATAGTCCTTGTCTCCGCCAAAACTTTCTGAAATAGAAACACTTGGTTTCAGCCATCCTAAGAATCATTACAGGAATGCTGGGAGCAGCAGGACCTTTTTCTGCCTAAACATGCATAGAATTGCACAAGCGTTTTCAGCAGGTGGTCAGAGTTTTGCCTTAACAGCTTTAGATCTCAACAGGGTCAAACAAAGATGGTTATACTGCTTCACCTGAGGTATCTTCTGCCATCTTCTGAGCTGTCCATGCCGAGGGCACCAGGGGTCAACCTGTATGGAAGTCAAAGGGATCCTTATTACTTAAGAGCAAAAAGGTCCGTCTCGCACTGACCAAAAAAGTCTTGCGTGTGATACCACAAACTTAGATTAATCCTCCAGAGTGACTGCACAATTGCTGTCTGCCCCACTTGAGGGGTGCAGCTGGGAATGGCCCTGCTGAGGGAGGGGCCTGATCACGCCATTCCCTGGACAGGAGGCCACCCCCAGCAATGGGGAAGGGGCAGCCACAGACCTGCGTCTCTTTATTATTATTATTATTATTATTATTATTATTATTATTATTATTATAACATTTCTATGCCGCCCCTTGCCGAAACCTCGGGGCGGCTTACAACATGATAAAATACATTGAAATACAATAGTACATAATAAATTACCATTAAATATAACAATACAAAAAATACATTGATTTACAAATACAAAATTAAAATTATCAGTATAAAATAAAAATATAGGAGGAGAAAGAGAAGGAAGAAGAAGTTGCCCAGGCCAGATCATATGTTTTAACAATTGAAATGATGTTTAAATAAAAAGGTCTTTACCTGGCGCCGAAAAACCAGTAACGACGGTGCCAGGCGGACCTCTTTGGGGAGTGAATTCCATAGGTTGGGCGCCACCGCAGAGAAAGCCCTCCTCCGGGTACTTACTCTCCTAATTTCTTTCATGGAGGGTTCCCGGAGAAGGGACTCTCCCGCAGATCTCAAAGGGCGGTCGGGCATATACGGACGTAAGCGCTCGTGCAGGTAGCCAGGACCCAAGCCGTTTAGGGCTTTGTAGGTCATAATCAACACCTTGAATTGGGCCCGGGCTTCAATGGGAGGTCTCTTGGCCTCCAAGTCTCCCCAGGCTCTGTTCTGCAGGGACTGCAAAGCCATGTGCTCACTGGGAAGGCTGCCCCTAGTGACGGAGACCTTATGCAGGCACATTTACATTAATAAAAAATTGTTGATGTGTTTAATGTAATAAGAATTCACCAATGTGGGTTGTCATAACTCTTGAGGTACACATCTCTTCGTATGAAAGTGAACGCTACAAGTTACTTCCTTGGTGTCATTTTACTTTACTCTTCTGATGCTGCTGTTTCAGCGTTCTGCCATCCAATTTGGAAAGGAGAAGGAAAAAAAACCCCAAACCAATATATAAAGACGTATTTATTGATCTGATTTATATACTTCTTCCCACAAAGTTCCAAAGTGATAAACGCACAATTTTGTGCCATCAAAACAAGAATAACATATAACACCAGAGAGATTTTAGTTCTCATCCCCCCCTCCCCCCATTCTGATCCCGTGCCTGCTTCGCCTGTATCCCTGGCACCTAAGCCAATATTGCAGATTACCAGGACATGTATCCGCTGGATAAACAGTCTACATGGAAATGGAAACTTACAATCATCAAAAGGGGAATTTGGTGATGTGTGCACGAATAGGAAGGAGGCGGAGAGACTAAGAATGTTTCTTTCTTTTCATATTAGGTCAGATTGCTTCATATCAGTCAGCTGCAGGCTTGTTGACATGTTTTGCTTTAGTCCCAGCGGAGAGCGAGTCTGCAGTGCTGGGCAACTGTTTAAGGCAACCATCTGCCCCTACCTTGGCTCTGCATTTCATCTAAAATGCCCTTCTCTGACTGGTGCCCCCCCCCAGCAGCTTTAATAACTTTAGTTCTTGTGGAACACTTACCCTGCACACCTGTTTGCACATACCTGAGAGAAACCCCTAATTAACTCAATGGGACATCTAAACAAACATGCATAGAATTGCACTGTTTTTCTTCCACCGGATTTTTTTTTTAAAGGCAAGTTAAAAAAGTATGTTTAATGGGCAGTGCTTCCATAGTTCTGGGCCCACCCGTCCCATCATTCCCAGCCACCATGGTGGACCATTTGTCATGCAACACATCTGAAGTGACCAAAGGAAGGGCAGCTGAGGGGAGCATCTAACTGACCAATCCTATAGCCCTCACTGCATTTTGATGGCCACAAGACTGCTTGGATTCCCAGTTTTGCAGAAGTGCTCCGACCTTTGCTTGGAACATGCTCCCCACCCCCCACCAGCCTGGACAGAACTGCTCTGCCTCTTCTCTGAGGTCGTAAGAGTGACCTTGGAGAAGAGGTCTGGGGGCACTGCAGGGGTGGGGAGAGGAGCATGCTGGCCCATCTAAGAGATGATGAATCTTCCTGGCCTCTCAGCCTGCCTGTCTCCCCCTCTGAAATGCCACAGTGAGTGGCCCAAAACAGTCGTCTAGCTGTTCTGGGGGAGGCAGGGGCACAGAGGTGATAGCTGCCAGTTTGCAGAGGTGGTGGTGGTGGTGGAGGAGGAGGAGGAGGATTATTGCACTGCATTTATACCCCGCCTGCCTTCCTCTTGCAAGAAACCCAACAAGGCACTGCTACTGTCCATTTTGTCCTCACAACAACAACCCTATGAAGTAAGTTAGGCTAGAAATCTAACACTGACCTAAAGTCACCCAGTGAGCTTCATGGCTGGGTGGGGACCAGAACTCGGATCTTTCGAGTCCCAGTCCAACACTCCAACTACTACACCGCACTGCCTTCTCATAATTCTCCAAGATCAAAGGGTTACGGGCATCCCTACAGCCTTGCACCATGAGACAGGCAATCTGACAGCAGTGTGCCAGCAATTTCTCTGCCCCTCGTTCCAGTTCATCCAGCGCTGCTTGCAAGAGTCCACAATGCTAACACAGTGATGTTGTGTCGTGCCTTCCCTGTCTGAGAGCATATTTTAGGGAGCTGGGTTTCCCTGGCATGTCTCATTTGGGCCTTAGTTATTGTCACTGCCTACATTCCAGAGCCTGCAAATGCACTCGCCACGGTGAGCGACAGCAACTGTAGTAATTCTGCTCAGCATGCTCCCCCTCATCGTTGACCTGATCGGCTGACCTGGCTCGCTCCACGTGCTGGGCTTCCCATGGACTGTTTAACCCACAGTGAGTGGTGGCCTGTGCACCCTCTCATGAATATGCAGTCCCAAGTGGGCTGCAGTGTGGCAACCAAACCGACCACCAGGGATGCCCCACAGTGCTCCAGCTCAGGTAACATACCACAACCCTTGGGGGCGGGGGCTGCATATTCGTAATGGCAGCTGCACACACTGCGGCTCATTGCGGATTGAACACGAGCGCAGCACAGCGTGTGAACCAGCCCAAAGAGAAGGCAATTAAGGTTCAGTTACGTTTTAAAGGAAGCACCTTTAAATTGTCCCAGTGCTTTCCTTCCAGGGTGAGTGCTCAGGGTTCCAGCCAGCCATTCATTCCAAACCAGGGCTGTACTTCCATCCTCCAAAACGTCCAGCTTTTAACTTCTTGTTTTACAACTCAGGCTCGGCCCTGCATGCAAGTACCATCTGTTATTACCTCCCTGTGAAGTGCATGCCTCATCACTACAGGGGGCTGGAGGACCGGGAGCTGTGGCGGGATGGAGTTGCTCGGATATGCCACCCAGCTGCTCACCGAGGAGCAGCCATGCAGCCCAGTCCAGTGATCAAAACACCTGTCAGTTCACGACTGCAGGGATGGCCAGCAGCTCAAAGACCAAGAACAGTCAAAGCACGTGCCTGAACCAGCATGTCCCACAAGCAGAGACCTGTTGGGCAATGTCACCACCTGTGCTTGCTCACAACTCACCCTCCATGCTCACAAACGCTTCCTGGGTCAGTCTTCTGGGAACGGTTCTGGGTGGAGAGGACCGAGTGCCCCAGATCGGCCAAGATGGCCCACACAGGCTCGGCTCTGTGTTGACTTAGGAAAGATGGGAGCCTTACTGCATTGCTAGGGGATCCTCCTGTGAGCTGAGCCAGGCCCCCTGTTGCTTACAGGGAAAGCTTTCCCAGCCTGCAGTCATCTGCTTGCACATGCCTGGGCTGACCCACACCTGAAACATAGGAAAGGGGAACCATGACAAAGGCTCGTAACTGGAGTGCCACAGGACTGCATTTCTGCATTGGCACCCCTCATGCGCTCCAGTCCGTATCTGAGGTCATGCTTTCTGTGCCCTGAGTGCCTGGCGTAGGCTGGGTATCTCCTAGGAGCAGGGTCTTAGGGGGTGCCAACCTTATGGAAACCCTCCTTTAGGAGACCTGTCAGGCTACAAAACTTGCTGTAAACCGTCCCGAGATGTCTAAGTATGGGAAGGTATAGGAATGTTTTAAATAAAGAAAGAATAATAAATAAAACTGACTTGTACTCTGCTCGGTAGTTCCAGTCTCAAAATTTAAATTTCCAGAAAGGGCTTTGTACTGACTGATTCAGTGTTTCTCTGCTGCCTATTGATTTGCATCTCTTTCTGCCATTTTGCTTTGCAATATTTTCTTGTCTGAATTTGTAATTTATTAAATTACAATATTTTCCCAGTATTTCAAGGTTTAGATTGTGATTTCAATTGGGGTTTTATTGTACAGAATTGATGCTGTGTTTTACATTGTTTTATTGCAGGACTGTTCTGAGACGATTTGGTAGAGGACAGTATAATTAAATTAATTTAATAAACATTGCATTTTAATTTAACATTAAATGCTTATTTTTTGAATTTTATTGTCAAAAGCTGCTTTTCTTCAATCCTTTAATCCTGAACTATTTGGGGGGGGGGGGAAGAAGCAAGGTTTTCCGATCTTCATTTCATTTTCATTTCTTCAGTGTGGTTCAAGGCAGCATCTGTTTCTCAGTGATAACTGACATGTGTGAAGCCATAGATTAAACTACGATTACTTGCTTTTCTGCAGAACCCATGACATGCAAAAAGGTGGGTGGGATCAAACCAGATGTTTATATAATTCAGCATTTTGTTCCACAGCACTCAAGACCATGCCGAGTTAATGACCAGGAACAGTGGAAGCTTTGGGAAAGGAGCTGGTATTTTCTATATTTACATGTTTATTTTGCCAATTTGTACAATTGGTCCGTTCCTACAGGCTTAGGCTCTTAAAAATACACCAGAAGAAAACTTCCATTGGGAAGAATGTGTGCATTTTGATGAGCACAAAAGCGGAGGGCACACACACAGATTCCATTAACAAGATTGCAAAATTTTCCTTTCTTGCCAGAATGAAATGCAAGGAATGACGGAAATGCAGAATAATCAAGAGTAGAACTGGAGGAATCTGCTCACCCCAATTCATTTCCAGAAGCAACTCAATGTGCTGTCTCTTACCTTAAAGAGACTGCATCTGTATAACTGAAAGATCATCTTTTCCTACACAAATTTGTTAATCTATCAAGGGTATGTATGGAAACCTACTATAGGTCTCATCACCTTCAAAATTAGGGGGATAGTTCTCAGAGACTGAACCTCTTCTCCTGCGGCAGCATGTTAAAGAAGCATAGCAAAGTAGTTGGAAAGGGGCCAGAGGGTTCCACCCCCTGCTCAGCGCAGGCCCCCAAGCTAAACCATCCCTCTCAGATGGCTGTCCAGTTGCACCTTGAATGCCTCTAATGTGGGGAGCCCACAACAAGCCTAGAGCTTTCACTCCACTGTTGTATTGCTCTCACAGTCAGGACGTTTTACTGATATCTAGCCAGAATCTGACTTCTTGTAACTTGAGCCCATTGCTGCATGTGCTGCACTCTGAGATAGAAACACAGAAAGAGAGCAAGTCCGAAGGGGTCTCCCAAGCCATCTAGTCTGACCCCCGGCTCCAGCTGGCTCTGTTCAGTGATAATTGAGATCCGGGCCCTCTTCTGTGTGAACGCCTTTCAAGTACTTGTAGAGAGCTATATAACTCCCCTTGTTCTTCTCTTTGAGGCATAACATGTCCAGTTCTTTCAATCACTCCGCACAGAACCTTGTTTCCAGTCCCTGGATGATCCTTGCTGCCCTCCTCTGGACCCTTTCCAGCTTGTCTGCATCTTTCTTAAACTATGATGTATTTAATCTCTTTTTGCTTCCTGAAGAAATAGCTTCTTGAAAAACTACTTGTGGGTTTGCATTCTTAATATGTGGAAACTGTTTAATTTAATGCTGTCATGTGCTGAGTTGTGTTTTCCATCTTTTTAGCTTGTTTTTTAATTGCACTGGGTTTTATTTTGCTATTCAAAGCTCCATAAACTACTGGACCATTACACTTATTTAAATCACTGTAACAGCATTGTACCATTGAACTTTTGCAATATTTTAGTAGCTTCTATCTTTAATGGCACCTTGATTTTAAAACACTAGGCTAACCTGCAGGGATGACGCAATCCCTGCCTACCAATCTTTCTTTAACGGAGCAGAAGCAGCAGCGGCTTTCTTTTCCTGGCTGGCTCATAAATTGTATCTGCTATACCAGAAAATAACATTCAAGAGAAAGTGAACTTTCCCAGTGTCCAGAAGCCCAAAAGATTCCTTGGCTTTCAGCTGGTAGGAAGAGCTCCAGAGATAGTTGCCCTGATGCTGCCTTCCCCAATCATTGTGTGGCTGAGGACTGCTTTTCCCATGAGGAAACTGTTCACTTTGCCAAACAGGAAGTGGGTGGATGGTGGGATAGGAATGTCAAAAAATCCATGGCGAGAGGTGTCTCCTCCGAAGTTTTCTTGAATCTGAAGTGAGGTGCCTTGCCTGGCCCAGACTCCCATGATGAAAACAGCAGGCAACCCTAGACCCATAGAGAAGGGGCAGGAACCCAGTGCTGCATCTCAGGGGTTTCCAGTGTGGTGCCCCTGAATGCCATGGTACTTGTGGGGGCCTCCAGCAATGCCCACCACGGTCCCCACAATTCACCACCTTTGGAAATAAAAACCTAGGAAAGGGTTAGGATAGCCTTCTTTCCTTCCCTTTCTAGCCCCTAGCCTTGCCCTTTCACCTTGCTATCTCCCCCCACAACCTCTAGTTTCCATGTTCTCCCCAGTTCTTTATCTTGCTCTTGCAATTTTTGGATTTGTCAACACCTCCCTGGTTTGGGACAGTTAATTGCATCTCTATTTAAGGCTGAAGTTTTATAAGGTCAGATTTCTGCTGAGTTTCTCAAATATTTTTAAATTAATGAGGGTATTGTTGAGTCTTGGGTTGGATAATTGCATATACTTTTATCTGTTTTTTTTAAAAAATAGACAAGTATCTTCATTAATTCAATACTTTTGTAAACTTATTGAAGCTTATGAATTAATAAACAATCTTATTATTAATGCTAACATATCGGCAAAGATAAAGAAGAGAATGAGGCTTTGTGTCTCATGATAAGATGCTGTTAGGTTTGGGCCTCCCAAGGGGCCTCCAGTTGCTTTAATCCATGCCTGTCTATAACCCTTCACCTTTCAAATCCCACCCCAGGTTTTAGCCTCGTAATTCCTCCCCCACCCCCATTTAGCCCCCTCTGGACCAGCTGGGCCCTGCTGGCAGCCACCATACAGCCAGCCAAACTCTCTGTGAAGCCTGCGGGGGTTGCGCCCACAAAGATGCACACGCAGGTCCGAAGAGGTGGGGGGCCCAGGCAAGACAGCGCCGAGCCACTTGGCTGGATGCGCCTATCGGCAGTGCCAGCAGCTATCCCTCTGCCCACATCAGTGCCTCTAATATCGCCCCAATCGCTGTTTCCGCACTGCTAGTGGAGTTGGGGAAGCAGCATTCCTAGTCGCTGATGGGGGAAGGCTTTAGGCTCCCCCCATTATGGCATCCCATGGGCATGCATGCAAACGCAGCTGGCGGATCCACCGCCCGTGGGGTGGTGATGTGCTACAGGTTTTAGACCCGGCTTATAGATTTATTCACGGTGCTGAGCACTTACTATCAAAATAGGTTCTACTGCATGCACAGTGCCTGGCAAACAGCCCGCCCCCCGCCCCTTCACGGAAACCCCCGGCTGCAAATGCGCGCCCGCGCGTTCACGTTTGTTGACGCTTCTGTAGAGGATGCACCTCTGCGCCCGCCGCCTGAAATGAGGCCCGTTATGAGAGATCAGGGCTGGCGAACGCCCTTCGGCGATCAGTGCGTATGTCCTCGCAGGCCGTTTGCAGGGAGCGTCCAGCGACCGCTCCGCCGCCCCCCGGCACACGCCCCACAACACAAAGGCTGCGCTTCCGGGGCACCCCCTGCGGCCGAACCGCCGGAGGCTTCCTCGGAAAAGCGCTCCTCGCAGACTCGCCGCGCGCCCGCGAGCACAAAAGGCGCAGCAAGCAACGTAAAGCGCCCCCCTTACCGTGAATCCGCAGAGCGACGCGGCATCTCTAACAGCTCCTCATCGCCGCCTTCCCCATTCCCGGAGGCCGCATCGCGGATGCGCGGACGCCAGAGGGGGAGGGGTGGGTGGCGCAGGAAGGAGATGGGAGGCGGGGCTGAATGGCTTTGTTGGATCAGAATTAAGTAGGGTTATGTCCTAACACAGCCGTAAGAGAATATGACAGAAAAAGTGGCGCCTGTAGACTTAAAATCAACTGTTTCCTGGCTGCTGCAGGAATATGCATAGCACAGTGTTTGAAAACTGCACCTTTTCTATGAATTTCGGATTGGCTGGGTGTGCTCTTTAAAAAGACATGGGACAGTCCTATGCAGCAGTGATCCCCAGTCTTCTGGGACATGGGGCTGCTTTAGAGTGCCCAGTGCCTAAAGAGGGCTGCATCTGAACCAGAAATGTAACAAAATTATTAACCTACCGATTTAGATCTAAAGTGAACATCCAGAGGCAAGTGAAGAAAAATGAACTTGAATGCAATCCATTTGGAACTTAATGGCGTCTCCTGTGCTCCAGGTGGGAGGCTGCCCTTTCCTTCACTCTTTCTCTCTACCTGCCCATTTTTGGAGGGCACCCAATTTTTAAGGTATTTGAATGTGTAGATTTAAATCTCAAGGCAGTGCGGTTATTGAGAAATAAATCTCATAGTATTCTATGTACTCAGGATTGCAACTCTGCCAATCTGGTAGGTCAGATTCATTATCCATGTTTAAAAAATTCGTCCTAGCCTGTGTATATGGCCCAATATTCCTGAGAAGTGTAGAGGGAGGGGTCTCTCCTCTTCCTTGCCATGGTCAAAATGCAAATCCCCAGCTAACAGCAGCCAGAGTGGGGTGGATTTGATGGGAAAGAGAAGAGTTAGACCCCTAAACTATAACTCTCACATTTTTATGTATTCAAGGATAAGAGTGAAACTGCAAGTTGGCTTCAGATTATATGCAGGGCACACATCCTGCCTGCCTGCCAAGCCGCAAATCAGGAGAAGCAAAATGTCAGGGGGGAACTTGGCTGGAGGAAGATGTGGGAAGGGGAATCCCAGAAGGTTCATGCTAAGAGAGGACTCCTTCCCCTCAGCCACTTAACCCCTGCAAGCACGGATGCATGAGAAGCCTCCTGGCTGGAGTGGGTGGGGGAGGAGAAGAGAGGCCAAAGCAGGCAAGGCCAAAAGCCAGAGCAAGCCTCTTTTGTTGAGGAAGGAAGGAAGCTTTTGCCTGAAGGTACCTCACTAGTATCCTTGGCAGTGTTGGGAAAATTTGGATAAATCCTGTCTGAAAAGCATTACTCCTGTGTGCCTTTGCATTGTGGGATCAAATCCTGTCTTCCTTCTCAAAACCAAGCTGTCACTGTTTAAAATGGCATTCCCCCCCCCGCCCCCCCCGCTCCTTTCTCTCACCTTTAGCTGTAGGCTACAGCAGACAGGCCATTTTAGCTCAAATGTACATTGTAAATAGTCATTATTGGAATTCAGTTTACAATAATCTTTTGATAGCCCAGAGGGCTTCATGTGCCCTGATCATGCAGAATGTTTAGAGTCGAGATAGGGGTCTGAGCTTATCATGAATAGTTTCTAGTAGCTTGAATTTGCATGTCTGAGCAGACCTGGAGATGGGTTCAAGTTACTCAATTAAAGTGTCAATACAGGCAATTAGAAATGTGTAATCTCATTGTTACAGTGTGATTGACTGACATTTCTTTATCTGTTCTGTATGTGATGACCTCAGAATCTTATTGTGATCTCTGCATTCTGTCATCAATTGCCCTGTACCTGTGTACCTATAAATGCCCTGTAATGGTATTGAAGCTTTGCAGCAGAGTTCACCTCTGCCTGCCCGGTAATGCATGCATTATCGTGAGTGTACTGTGGGAATCTTGGGGGTAAAACAATAAAGCCTCAGATGGTCTGGACACTTGGTCTTCCCCACAAACCCGAGCTTTATTCCCTCTTCTCAAATTGAGATTCTGGGATTCTGACAGCAGCCACTTGGAGGAGCCTTGATGGAGGAGCCTCTAGAAATGTTCAGGATGCAAAGCATTTTGAATCCCTTTTGCAAAAGAACAAGGCCTTTTACTCTCCTTTTTTTTTTTTTTTTGCAAAGAAATAATGTACAGTGGTACCTTGACTCATGAACTTAATCCATTCCACAACCCAAATTGGTTGTGAACCTAGTCAAATTTCCCCCATAAGGTTCAGTGTGAATAAGGTTAATCCGTTCTGTAACCATTTTTTTAATCATAAAAATTTGAAACAAAGCGACAAAGTCAACAAAGTAACAAAGAACAACAAAGATCGCAGCCATCTTCCCACCCCCCAGCATGACTGTGATTGTGCCTGCGCATGGAAGACAGGCACAATCGTGATCGTCACGCGATGTGGAGTTTGCAACCTGAGGCAAAAGTTTCTGAAATTTCTGTACAGTGGTACCTCGGCTAACGAACGCCTTGGTTCACAAACAAATCGGGTCACGAACAAAAATTTCTGAAAAATTTTGACTTGGGTTGCGAACACCACTTTGGGAATCTCGGCCATCTCCCCTGCGGCTCTGCTTTGCTGCTCCCGTCTTTCCTGCAGCAGTGCGCCTCTGATCAC